AATTCTACTTTCACAAAAATCACTGTTTTAATAAAATACTGTTAGCACTGTCCTCCCGTTGTTCATCGATTTGCTCGAGCAGGCACCAGTAACGTCTCACAACAAATTGTGAGACTTGTTGTTACTGTTTTTGGCATATTGAATACATCATGGGGAGTTTTCCAGGCTTTGCCATGCAGGCAAGATACTCTCGATAGCTTGCCGGGCTCTCTGAGAGGGGGAGAGAAATCGAACCTGGGTTGGCCATATCGGCTGCGTGCAAGGCAAACGCCTTACCCGCTGGTTAATTTGTTCTTAGAACATCTTATAAGGGCCAGAGAAAGAGTACAAGGGTTATGGTAATACCTTGCAAATAGCCGACCCAGGCACAATAACCAGCACTACATATGATCCCCTGAGCACTGCTAGGAGTGGTCCTTGATCAAAGAGCCAGAAGTAAGCCCTGAGCACTGCTGGTGTTACCTCAGTCCCCTTGTTCCTCAAAACCATATTTATTAGGGCCAGAGAGACAGTATACCAGTCAATGTGCTTGACTTGCATTTGACTGACTTTGGTTTGATCCGTGGAACCACAGATGGTCCCTTGAGCACTTTTAGGAGTAAATCTTGAGCACAGCTGGGTGTGGCCCCAAACAAAACAAAATAGAACTTCATATAAATAGAATCACACAGTATATAGTTTTAAACGTACACATATATACAAAGATACATATATTTACTTTTACTACAGAGATAAATAATTTTTGTGTGTGTCTGACTTTTATCACTCAGCATTTTTTCGGGATTCATCCAGATGATTATATTAGTAGTTCATTCTTTTTATTGTTGAGTGATGTGTCATTGCTATGAATGTACCACTGTTTATTTTCATTTTTACTGGTGAGTTCCTAAGGTACTGTAAATTCTCTGTAAAGAAGTTATGAATATGCTTGTGTGTTTGTGTGGACAAATTGTTTATTTCGCCTAAATAAATGGTTAGAAAGGAATTGCTACATCAAGAGCAAATGAATATTAATCTAAAAACTGGTTATACCATTTAAAATAGATTTTAATTTTTAGGGAAGTTTTAGGTTCATTCAAAACTGAGAGAAAGCACAATGTCCTCATCTACCCCCTATCCCATCACCCCATACAGTTAACACCTAGTGCATATGTTGCAATTGAAGAATTGATGCTACGTTCAGCATCCATGTGAAGATGTATGTGTGTGTATGTATATATGCATGCTTTTTGCTCATTTGGAAAATATCAAGGAAAATATAAATAGCTACATTATAAAATAAGAAATTGACAAACTATCTTAAACAGTGGTCCTATAATTTTGTCCTCCTGTCACTAGTAGACGAAAGTTTCTACTGCTCTTCACTCTCACCAACTTTTGTTATTGTCAGAACTTTAGATTCTCACCATTTGAATGACTAACTGGGGGTAAGGGTAAGCCGGCCTTTAGAGATTGGGGATCAAGGAAGCAATCGTGATGCTGTTTCTGGATGGCAGTCTTCTGTGTGACCAGCCCCAGCACTGTCACCTGCACTTGCATTTCTCTGTTTCCTCACTGACCTGGATGTTAAAGGATGGCTAAAAGTGTTGAAATCGGACTGGTCAGGCTCTAGTAAAGTCATTTTTTCAGGGGCAAGGCTTAAAACAGCAGACCCTGTTGTATTTTAGAACACACCTGCCCTCCGTCTGCCAGGGCTTTTTCTGTGATGTTCACTGTGAGGATGGAGTGGAATTCCTGGGGGTCAAACTCACATAAATGTGGGTCTCTCTGGAGCTCTGAGCTCCCTTGGTGCTTTGGTCTCACAAACTTACTACACTGAGCCACCAATGATTTGTTACTCATGGATCAGGTTTCCGAATTCCAATATTACCTATAAATACTTTACAACTCCCCCTTTACCCCCAACCAAGCAAGCAGTGTTGGCTAGAGATGGATTTGAGGTGATGGTGGAAAAGAAGTGAAACTGGGGGTCAAAGCCATAGTACATCTGGTAGGGTGCTTGCCTTGAATGGAACTAGCCTGAGTTTGATCCCTGGAACATCACATGCTCCCTCGAGCACTGCCAGAAGTGATCTCCCACACAGAGACAAGAGTAAGCTCTGAGCACCAACAGGTGTGCCTTCAACGCCCTCCCCTCCACAAAATATATATAAACATACATACACACATATCACTGTCATCCCATTGTTCATCGATTTATTTGAATGGGTGCCAGTAACGTCTCCATTCGTCCCAGCCCTGAGATTTTAGCAGCCTCTCCTTACTTGTCTTTCCCAATGCTGCTGTATTGGAGATTCTTTCAGGGTCAGGGGAATGAGACCTGTTATTGTTACTGTTTTTGGCATATTGAATATGCCACGGGTAGCTTGCCAGGCTCTGCCGTGAACACACACATATATAAATATATACATATATGCGTATTTGTGTGTATATATGTGTATATATACATATATATATATATGTTTGGGGATCACCCAACTGATAGTCCTCAGGTCTTACTCCGGACTCTGCACTCAGGAATCATTCCTGCTGGTGCTCAGGGGATGTAATGCAGGGGGTTGAACTTGGGTCAGCCACATGCACGGCAAGCACCACACCCACTGTAATATCACTCTGATTCCATCAAGAGAAATCATTTAATGGAAGTAACTATCAAAGGGTGCATTGGATATGCTTATATAAGTATTTGTCATTTTCTGGGGCTAGAGAGATTGTAGGCAGCAGGTTTTTGCAACCGTACAGCTGGTAAGGCATTTGCATTGCACATAGTCAACTCAGGTTTGATCCTCAGCACCCCATATGGTCCCCACTTCAGTTCATCACCAGGAGTGACCCTTGAGCACCGAATCAGGAGTAAGCTCTGAGAATCTTTGGGTATGGCCCCAAAACAAAAACAAAAAAAAAACCAATTTGATTCATCTGGAAAATTAAAATTTACTAAAAGAATTTATGAAAGATATATGATAGAACATATATTTATTTATATAGTGGGGGAGGATTGTGAGACTGGCTTTATCACCCATAGGTTTCAAATTAATTTTAACTTCAGATGAAATATAAAACCCCATGTCTTAATTAATAATAAAGCTCAAACTACACTTGTGTCTGGGGTTTCACTCAATGTAACCAAGGTACCCTGTATTCTTTGGGAAGTGGTTGAACACAGAATAGACAAGAGGCAGGTATGCCTGACCGTACTGATAAGAACTACTGACTTACATGACCATTGCATTAACTGCCCCCAAAAGTGGTCGTGGATATCCGGATCCAATAAGTAACAGATAAAACAAGCCCATGAATCTTACAAGCTGACCTAACAATATGAAACTCCATGGACATTCCCCTGGCTAAGTAGCTAATTTGTCTTGCTGTAAATTAAAACATGGCTTTCAATGAGTGAAGCCCATTATAAGGGGTCAGATTAGAGGGGGTGATAAAGCCCCATTTTGCCATTCAACAACCCAATTTGACTGTTTTTAAGCTTAGAAAATTCATTACTGTACCACAACCTAATAATGTGGTCACATCCATTGAGGTCCCGTAGCCAATATTACTGAAATTACTGACTCAATCAGCAATTGGTCAATACATTGCTCTCTTGATTTGTCATAATGTTCTGTTCCATGCCAGTTTGAGGACCTTAATCACAGCTTGCTTCACCTCTGAAGGGACATATTCCCCTGGAGCACCTCAAAGTCCAATCATTGCTCATAGTCTCTGAGGCAAGATTTAAATGCATTTGACTTTCTTCCAGAGCACAGGTATGAGAATGCATTGATGAATCTGAAGAGATTTGTTGGATACACTAATTCAGGAATATGCAAATACACAATGACACTCATGGGAAGGACGCACCAATTGTCTTACACAAGTTGCCGTCTTCACTGAATTCCTGGAAGTATTTGGGAACCAGGAAAAATTCCATCGTGGGACTGGAGCTATAGCACAGAGGGTAGGGTGTTTGCCTTGCACGCGTCTGACCCGGGTTTGATCCCCAGCATCCCATATGGTCCCCCGAGCACCACCAGGAGTAATTCCTGAGTACAGAACCAGGAGTAACTCCTGAGCACCGCCAGGTGTGACCCAAAAAGAAAACACAAAAACAAAAAAGCCCCATAGTTGTTTCTGTCAAGAAATCCCCTCAGCACCCAAAATACTAGGTCAAGCTGAACATTTCTTATACCTTTTTGCTTCTGAAGTCCATCTCTTCCTTATTTACAATTTTTATGTTGATTCATTTATGCCGTTCCATGCAATGGGCCCACCTGGAATGAAACCCTTCTCTAACAAAGCACTCTAAAATCTATCAAGATTGCAATACTGCACTCATTTGTGGGATCTAAAAATCATTGTATGAGACTAATACTCAAGGACAATCGAAACTAGGGCCAGGAGGATTGATCCAAAGTTGGCAACTTGCCACAAGTCAGTACAAGGGATATACATGATAACTTTTCAGGACCTATATTGCAAACCATTATGCCCAAAAGGAAAGATACACGCACAGAGGGTGGGGTGTGGGGGAAGTGTCTGCCATAGAATTGGGGTGGAAGGAGGAAAACTTGGGACATTGATGTCTTCATTCTAGAACTTCCCAAGTGCTTGTCTCTGGACCATCCATGGGGGCCAACCTCCCTTCAAGGTCATTTCATTTTCCCTGTGAAACATCGATACAATTGGTCATAGCTGAACATATCCATCCTCACGGAGTCTCTAGGATGATTAGAGGCTTCCAAAAAACCAATTCTGCACAAGAGTTTATATTATAAAAGCATTTTATTGAACACACTCTGAAGGTAGTGAGAATGAGAACAAATTTAGGGGTCTGGGGCGGAGGCTTTGATGGTTTAGATACTGGAAACCTTTGGCTACTTCTGCCCTGAGGGACCATACTGTGGAAATCTGACGGCTGATTTCAAGCAGGACATAGAATCATGACACGGGAGACACAAGAATGGGGAACTGCACTCCTCTGGGAACAAAGGACTGTGGCTCTGACTACACTCCAGGGAAACAGAAAACTTGTAGCCTCCTAGGAGAGACTGTCATCGTGGCTGACGGCTGCACGTGTAGGTGTGCCTTGCAGCGGGCTCTTGCATCTTAGCTCTTGAAGCTCTTCCGGGAGGAGGAGGTGGTGGAGACAAATTTGACGCTGGAGCTGCTGCCCCCACCACTGCCGAAACCCATGCCCATGCCTCGGCCGCTACTTGCACTGAAGCCAGAGCCCCCGACACTAAGCCCACCTCCTAGGCCCATGCCCCCGCTGCTGCTGGAGTAGTAGCTGCTGCCGCCACCACCACCACCAAGGCCACTGCCGAAGCCTCCTCCAAAGCTGCTGCCACCGCCGTAGCCCGAGGAGACGCTGTTTGTGACGACCGCTGTAGAGGATAGAAGGAGACCGTGGTGAGGCCACTCTGCCAGACTGAGCCTGCACTGAACTGATTTGATTCTCTTCTGGGACCTGGTTCCCTTAGAGGGGGACAGACGAGGTTCGAGCTCTCGGGGCAGGGGCCTCACAGTAAATGGGTGAACACAGTGGACAGGCAGGCTACTGAGAGTTTGGGGGCAGGGGCAAGGCATGGACATGGGGGATGACATGGATGAGGCATAAGGCCTATCCTTTACGAGGAAAGACATGAGTCACACTGCTCCATGTCCCAACCTGTGCTCTTCTCACTCCACCCCCTGCTTCTCGCTAAGCTATCAAATAACCATATAATGGGATCTAAGAACAGCGGGACTCAACGTTGGCACAAAATGCCCCATATTATCCTTACTGTTAATATTTGTTTAAAGTTACTTACAGATGTTGACTGGCCCAACTCCTTCTCCGCTCAGTCTGAAAGGAGAAAACAAAATAAGAGTTATAACTCCCTCAAACACAGTGTCAATCTGTACACATAACTCTCATACTTGTGCCTGGAGCCAGGGTGCCTGCCTGTCTGATTCAAATAGAGGAAGAACTGCCCTCTGGAGGGACTTCCCAAAGAGGACTTGACCTAGAAATAGGTTATCTAAGGAAGATTATAATTCACGGCGTTCTCCGCCCTCCATATGAAAAGCATGGCTAAGATTCTTGTAGGAACTGTGAATATGTATGAAGCCCTTTCGTGAGATCAGAAGAAATGGAGTACTTGGAGAAGCCAAAGGCAGGGGAGTTTAACTAAGCAGAAATTACCCAGAAAGTCTTCCTGAAGGAAGAAGTACTTCAAGAGTGGAGGTTGGCCTTCTTAGTTGTTTGAAGAAAGGGGGTATCCGAGAGTATAAGTGGTGGGAACAGGGTCAGAAATGTGTCAGGGACACAGCATAAAGGCCAGCTTGTGCCAAGTGTAGGATGGAAAGGGATTGATGGTGGATATTATCATGCGGTAGTGAAGAGGAAGCACTATTTTCTTATCTGGGGGACCATCCTGGGCTTTTGCTATCTGCCCTGCGCTGCCCACCTGCACTCTTCGCCCTCCAGCAGCTTGCGGTAGGTGGCGATCTCCACGTCCAGGGCCAGCTTGGTGTTCATCAGCTCCTGGTACTCGCGCAGCAGCCGTGCCATGTCCTGCTTGGCCTTCTGCAGGGCATCCTCCAGCTCGGCCAGCTTGCTCCTGGCATCCTTGATGGCCAGTTCCCCACGCTGCTCTGCGTCAGCGATGGCATTCTGCAGGTTGGCACACTACAGAGAGAAAGGAGGGAAGGAAGAGTGTGTGACTGAGCCTCATCTGAGGTTCCTGCTCCTGGTGGATGATGGGACGTTGAAGTGTTGGAACTTGTACGTGTGTGTGTGTGTGTGTGTGTGTGTGTGTGTGTGTGTGTTTGTAGAGAAAAAGAGTTGAAGAGAAAAAACATTCCTCCCTCTCTGGCCCCTTCTTTCAACCTCAGCCTACCTGCTTCTTAACATTGTCAATCTCGGATCTCAGCCTCTGGATCATCCGGTTCATCTCAGAGATTTCATGCTTGGTGTTGCGGAGGTCATCACCGTGCCGGCCAGCGGTCTGCTGCAGTTCCTCGTACTGGTACCACCAGAAAAGAGAAATGGTTTCAGTTACATGGGCTTGGAAAGCTTTTCCCCCAAGTGCACAGGCAGAAATGACCCAGAAGTGTCAAGGGCATGTTCATCCCGGGCCTGTGGATTTCTCCCAAAGACCTGCCCTCAGATGGTCTCCTCAGTGCCTTTGCTTTCCTGGAGATGCCGGGCTGCTATCCAGAATGACAGCCTCCTTATGGCCTTTGAGTTTATGTGGCAAAAGCCAAAAATTGACTATGCCCAGAACTCACTCCAAGAGGCCTCAGTAGCCTTCCGAGGTCCCCTCCTTATGGTAACCGTGAGGTCTGATCCCCTCACTTGAGATACATTGCCCACAGCACCCACCTTGGTCTGGTACCAGGACTCAGCTTCCGTCCGGCTGCGGTTGGCGATATCCTCATATTGGGCCTTGACCTCGGCAATGATGCTGTCCAGGTCCAGGGAGCGGTTGTTGTCCATGGACAGGACTACAGATGTGTCTGAGACGTGTGTCTGTATCTGGGACAGCTCCTGTGGGGACACTGGAAGTCAGTTATCTGATTCTGGGTTACTTAATAGCACATGAACTCAAATCCCCCATTCACTGTGTCAGCTTCAGATAAAAAGGACTAGACACAGACTGGAGCCATAGCTCAATGGCTGAGCATGTGCTCTGCATGCAGGAGGCCTGGGTTCAATCCCTGGCAAGAATAGTCCCCTGAGCACACTCAGGAGTGACCCCTGAGGATGAGTCAGAAGCAGTCACTGCCAGGGATAGAACAGAAGCCCCAGATGAGAACCTCAAACAAATAAGCAAAAACAAATGACTAGCCAGGGCTGTGGCCCAGTGGTAAAGCGCATGTCTTACATGAGGAGAATTAGTTTGGTTCTCAGCTCTGCTCAAAGCAAAAAGTGATAACCATTGGCATGAGAAATGTAGGTGAGCGCCTAATCAATTAAAAATCAGAATGAAACTCATTGAACAAAAACTGTTCTCATTCTGAGCCTCCAAGAAACTTCTGCTATGTAATATCTCAGAAGCAAGCCTTCGGGGCTTATCACTTATTCTAAAGAAATCTAGTTGTGGGCATGCCGCACTGGGAGAGAACAGAGAGGGTGTGGTTTCTCCCCTGTCTCCCCCCCCCCCCCCCATGAAAAGGTTAAACTCTGACTCTAATGACTCACATATTGGAACCTCATCTGCAGAAAGATTAGTGGAGAGGTCTTTTGTCTTCAGTTTGACTTTCAAAAAGGGGATTAATTATTCGGGCACAAAGTCAAATAATACGGAAGGGTGGGAAGGCAAGCCCACTGAAAGTCAGGTAACGCTCGAGTGTCTCACACACCCAGACACCCTAAGCCCTACAAGTGAGGACCCTGGCACCCACCTCTCTGGACCTTGAATAGGGATCATTTCTTACCGCCTCAAAGAACATCTTCATGAAGTTGATCTCATCCATCAGGGCATCCACCTTGGCCTCCAGCTCCACCTTGCTCATGTAAGCAGCGTCCACATCCTGGAGGAACAGGGATGTTGGTTCTGCACCCTATTTCCACCCCAACTTAAACAAGTGGCACCTTTAGTGCATGTAGCCCCAGGATACAGATTCTCCCCACCCACGCACCTTTTTCAGCATCACAAACTCATTCTCAGCCGTGGTGCGCTTGTTGATTTCATCTTCATACCTAGAGACAAAAGGGATGATGGTCAGGGAAAACTGGGGGCTGGAATCTTTACTGCCTAAAGCCAGCTGGGATCACTCATTCATTTTCTGATCAGGAAAGAATCCCTCACGCCAGCGAACAGACAGGGAGTGGAGGGGGCCACTATGAACCTTTGGGCAAGATTCTTTCCCACTGAAACTATTTCTTTTGTCACTGCCTACTGACATCAAGCTAGTTTGATGGTAACCGGGTTGTCTGAAGAATACTCCTGCACAAAAGCTGTGTTATTTTTCCTTAATTTCCTTAATTCCCTTTTATCCTCTCCATCAAATCCATTCCCCTTTGTGGGGTAGGTAGGGGGCTTTCTCAGCCTCTCAAATACTGGACAAATAAAATCTTCAGCAACCCAGTTGTTGACTGATAAGGACAAAAGAAATCCTTCGAGCCACCAAGTGGAGTTGTGTCATTCAGTTCCTGCCTTGAGGGGAAGCGGTTCAAATCCTGCGCTGGATGTTGGGGAGATGGCACCAAACAAGGGTGCATGACTGTGTATTTCACCAGCTGGGACCAGATCCGCGGGCTGCTCTGACCACAGTGCCTCGCAGAGGAGTGGACCCTGGGGTTGGAACTTTCTGAACATGGACCTGGTTTCAGTGCTTAGGGAATCAGGTGTGCCTGGCAGGTATGTGCTTCTGCACTCTGGCTGTGAGGGGCATTTGGTGCCAGGAGGCCCGTACCCTGTCCCCATCGCAACTCACTTGTTCTTGAAGTCCTCCACCAGGTCCTGCATGTTCCTGAGCTCAGAGTCCAGGCGGCCTCTCTCCCCGAGGACGCTGTCCAGCTGTCTCCTGAGGTTGTTGATGTACTGCTCGAACAGAGGCTCCAAGTTCTGCCTCACGGTCTTGGTGCCCTGCTCCTGGAGCAGAGTCCACTTGGTGTCCAGGACCTTGTTCTGCTGTTCCAAAAAGCGCACCTGGAGGGCAAGGGTGGAAGATGGAGACGGGTGAGCTTCTGGTTCCAGTGTCAGGGTCACTAGCTTTCCTCCCATTTCCTCATCTTTCTTAACCTTTCCCAGACAAAACCTAGCCTCGGGTGCGGGAGGAAAGGGCCAGAATGAGGCATCGAGGGCTCATATTTCCAAGAGAGACAGGACTCTCTGTCCAAGGCTCAGACCACACAGAAGAGCAGGCCAGTGGTGGCCGGTGTGCTGGAGTAGTTGCCCCATGATCTCATCTAATTGCGGGTCCGCTATGTGAAGCACAGATGTGCCTCTTTGCCCGACGGGCCCCAGGAAGCCCTGCTAGGGCTTCTGTGGAAGGGAAGAAATATGACCGGCCCTCACTTTGCAGGTGGGAAGAAATAAGACCCTCCCTCACTTTGCAGATGGGAAGAAATAAGACCCTCCCTCACTTTCCAGATGCCTGTCTAGTTGGGAAAGCAGGCACTGGCAGCGAACGCCAGCACAGAACTGCAAGCTAAGACGGGGTTGGCACGGAGTCAGGGTCTCTGCCCTGGTCCCGCACGCCTGGGCGGCGGTGCAGACCCGGACCCGGGGCGCCTTCGCACCCAGCGAAGCCCAGGGGGCCTCACCTTGTCGATGAAGGAGGCGAACTTGTTGTTGAGGGTCTTGATCTGCTCGCGCTCCTCGGTGCGCACGCGCTGGATGGTGGGGTCGATTTGCAGGTTGAGGGGCGTCAGGAGGCTCTGGTTGACCGTCACCTCTTGGATGCCTCCCGGGGGGCACACGGGGAAGCCGGCGCCGCCGAAGCCGCCCCCGAAGCCAGCGCCGCCCCCGAGCCCCATGCCCCCGCCAGCGCCTCCGCCGAAGCCGAAGCCGCCCCCGACGCCCCCTCCGAAGCCGTAGCCGCCCCCGGCCCCGAATCGGCTCCGGAAGCCGCCGCCGCTGCTGCTCATGGAGATCCGCTTGGAGCCCCCCACGTTGTAGAGGCTCCGGCTGCCGTAGCCCCCGGCTCCGCAGGCGCCCCCCAGGCTGACCCTGCCCATGCCGCCCCCGCCGCCCCCGGAGCGGGACACGGAGGTGAAGCTGGTGCGCGACACCGACGGGGTGATGGCAGAGGCCGCGCTGAAGCTGCGGCTGCCCCCGCTGCGGAAGGACACGCTGGACTGGCGAGACATGACGGCGTGGCCCGTGGGCGAGCTCGGACCCGGGCAGGCGGGAGGCGGACGGAGAGAAGAGGAGAGCGCGGGGCGGTGGAGAGATGCAGAGAGCGGCGGCTCCCGCCCGCCAGGCACCCCCTTTTATCCTCTCCCACGGGCTGGGCGGGAGCGTGCAGGGCTGCGAATGATTAAGTGGGCTGGGCATGCCTGGGGGGCAGCTGTGAGCTCAGCGGCACACCTGCAGGGGTGCGGGGTGCGGGGTGCACGCGCTTTCTTCCTGGCAGCTCTGGGGGCTTGGCAGAGGCCTCTCTGCAGTGTGGGGACCGGGGAGGGGGCTTTGATCCAAGTTTGATCCAAGTTCTTTGGGATGCTTCCGAGACCAGGGGTGCACACACACACACACACACACACACACACACACACACACACACACACACACACACACACAGAGTGAACAACACTGGGCCTGAACTAGGGCAAAGTGAACTCCTGTGCTTCTCACCCTGGGCATGCTTGGTGCTCTGGAGGTAACTTGCCACTGCTCAGAGCAGCTGTCTGTCCTTCACCCCACAAGCTCCTTCCCGTTCTCCTCTCTCCTGCAGGATCCGGACAGAGAACGGCTGCCCGTCCCCCCCGTTCTCCAGCCTCAGGTACCCGCTGGGCCCTCCTCAGCCTCTCTCCCAGCCAGAATGCTTGTGCCCCCCACCGCCAATCCATTTCCCTGCTCTCTAGTCCTCTGGAGCTGGGAGGGGGGAGGGGTGGGTGCGCTCCCTCATGACAGCCCTGGCAGCGGGGGAGCTGCAGTCTTCCGCACCCCCAGTACCCCCAGGTGTGTTCCAGCAAGCCCTCAGTTATGCCAGGGAAGAGGTGAGTCATCGTATCTGTTGATACAGGCCGGAGGCTGCTGCAAACACATACCTTCAGGAGCCTCCTAATCTCATCAGAAACATGTCGAGCGCCTGCCGGCCTGTTATAACGGGGAGCTGGCCTGCTTCGAGCAGCGGGAACGGCCGCGTTCACTGGAGCTCCAGCCCAAAGGCTCTGGCAAGGCCCGGGGCGTGGAAAATGGAGTCCTAAGTCTGTGGGTTGTTCTGCAACCAGGTTTGGGGGGGCAGACAGTGGGCTTGACAGTCTTCCCCTAGACTTTAGGAGGGATCCTCTCCCCCAAGTCTCCTGTTTGTCTGGGTGCCTCGGGGCACTAGGTAAAAGAGGGGGCTCTGACTAGGCTTTTGCTTGTCTCTGTCCTGCACCACACTTCTCATTTGGGCTGGAGACCCGAGTGGGGTTACCTCTTTGCCTCAGAGCAAAAGCATCTCAGGCCGCACAGCACTTGGGCCATGAAGAGCTGTTAGGGGGACCCAGGCTGGAACCGGAGGGAGGTTGGCATGAGGGAGGGGCTAACATTTCAGGGCGGAGGGCTACAATCTCATGAGCAAAGGCTCCAGGACCCAGCCGGGCTCAGGGATCTCTCGAGAAAGTCTGTGGTTGCCACAAGGAAGTGGAGACTGTGGCTCTGAGCCACGCGGGGGGGTGGGGGGACCAGCCCCATGGGAGTATGAATCCGGAATGGGGGTACCAGGACCCAGAGAGCTCAAGGGCACAGCTGATGGGTGCAGGCCTGCCCCTGGCCCAGAGACTTCCTGAGACTCTCAGAGAGGAAGTCACTGAATTCATCAATGTTATATTCTGATACCTCTTGGAGAATAGATCTGAGTGTCTTGGGAGCCATGAGGCATATGGGAGTTTCTTGGGCTCCGTTGGAACCTCTCAGAGTTTGGTACAAGTGTCTCGGGGCTGCCAGCCAGAATTCTTCATCTCCAGTGGGAGAGCACTGTTCAAAGAATCAACACACACACACACACACACACACACTCAGAGCCCTGGCCACAGTGTCCCCCTGCCCATGAGGCAGCCTCGCCTCTGAGACACTGGGACATTCTCTTCTCTCTTTGCTCCTCCTCGAAGCTGGGGCGTAAGGAATGCATCTGGTCACTCTGAGAATTGCTGGCAGGTGCCAAGTTCTCATGCACATGCCAGGGACCAAAGGTGTGTGGGTGGCAGTGACTGTGGCAGGAGTGTCTGGGTGCCTCCTTCAAGAGACAAGCAGAACTTTTCTGTGCAAGCTTGGAAGGAATGGGCCCTCCTTTGCTCCCCGCCTACAGGCAGGCAGGAGGGAAACCCTCTGAGATGCCAGCTCCAGACAGGCAGCAGCAGAGGGACCTGCAGGCACCCCTCGAAGGGAGCTCCCAAGGCTGCAGGATCATGACGGAGCTTCCCCAACACCACTACCCCCACCTTCAGGACAGCGCTGCCCCCTCCAAGATGGAGCAACTATTTGGGTAGCAGTGCCTGGCCCTGGGGGTGGCCCTGTCAGAGGAGGGGCAGCATTTGATAGAAAGACCTGCCCCACGTCCCCCAACACCACTCAGGGGTAGGTTGGTTCTGGGTGCTCCAGGGGTGAGTATAAAAAGCCAGATCCCCTCCTGCCCTGGGAAACCTGCTATCGTCTGGGGTCTTTAATGGAAGATTATGGAATAGGCCCCTACAAACTAGGCGCTTTCTAGAGGGAGGGCACTTGGGAGCAGACCCACCTGCGCATGAATTCGGCACGGCTTTCAGCAGAAAATAGTGCCCCAAGGTCAACTGCGGATTTGCACAAAGGACTCACCAGCAGAGACACAGACACAGAGACACAGAACACACCTCTGGACCCCCCCCCCTTCCACACACCTGTGCAGGGGTGGGGAGACCCTGCTAGCGCCACCTCTGCCTCTGCTCAGGATCCTATCCAGGGAGTGGGTGTCTTTTCTCCTTCAAAGGAGACACAACTCCCCCTGACCAAGAGCCTCTAAATTCTTCCTCGATTCTTCCCTCCCACCCAGAATACTGCTTCTAGCTTGCCTGTAACCCCCACTTTGCCCCAGCCCCCTCCAGGAGAGAACACAGCTGTGGCATCCCTCCCTTCGCGGGCCTCTGTCCTGGGTGCGCTCGACACAAAAGCGGGGAGCAATAGTTGCGGCATGAGTCACCTGATTCCCTCGGTGGATGTTGGCAGCCCCATCTGGGAGAGTTGAGAGCCAGATTGGGCAGGATGGGGAAGGGCAGGTGGAGGGGTGTGCCGGCCCCAGCAATTCTCCATAAAGCCCTAGCCTCAGGGAGGAACGGAGGGAAAATTCTGCCTCCACCCAAAACCAGCGGGAATCCTGCCCCCACCCCAACTCTGGAACCCAGCTTGCGCTTGGAGAATTCTCAGGCCTGAAAGGGGAGGAGGGGTACACTGGTCTTCATGGAATGAGGAGCTGGATATCCCATGTCTGCCCAAGGCTGTCACAGATGATTTTTAGGTTCTGCTTCTAGAAATAGGCGTGGAGAGATGCAGATGCCCATAAGGGCATCGGAGCTCTGCTGTGGGGCCCTGGGGTGCCCCCAAGTTTTTGGTAGCCTAAATTGGAGCATTTAACCCAACTTGGAGTTGAGTGTATTTGGTCCCTTGGAGTCGAATCTTCACATTCCAGCCTTTATCACAGCACAGGGGCCAAAGCTCGGGGTCCCTCTCTGAGGCCTGGCTGGGTCCTAATCCAGTCTTTTGGGGGGATCGTCATGCTGGAGCCTCCCCCAGCCTTCCCGTGGCATCCTTCTTGGGGGAAACCAGAGGGAAGGGCATCACCCTGCAGGGTCTGGGGAGCTGGAGCTGGGCGGGAGGGGTGGGGCAGACACACAGGGGCTGTGGGGAGCAGCCTTGGCCCCCCTCCCTCAGCTCCAGCAGGCAATTGGCAGTGTGGGCTGAGATTCACAGAGGAGCTTCGCTTCCCTCTAGCAGGTCCCTGCAAGCCTGGGGAATGTTCTTCCCTCATTGGAAGGGTGTTTTGCCAATGACATACCAAAGTCTTTGAAAATCCCCCTTGGTGGATTGAAACCAGGGGTTGGAAATCAACAAATATTTTAATTCTTCGGAGGAAGTTTTTGTTCTGTTTTGTTTGAATAAAAGAACGGACAGCAAAAATTGCTGCACTTTGCCTTCTCCTAGAGGGTGGTTTTAGCTTTTCAATAAACCCTTAACTCACTGTGTCAGCCTCTGTCTGACAGACTGTGTGCATCAATCTAAAAGCAGTGAATATGCAAGAGGGCCTTTCGCTGTCCACGCTCAGTGTTTGCTTATGTCCTTGGCTGGAGGGCAAGTGTGCTTGATGCTGTGGGCACGTAACTTCTCTAACATGGTAAGGCAGGGAAGGACTCATCTACCTCGTCCTCTAGCCGAGACAGGTAAGGAGGCTTTGGTGGTATTCGGAGACTCCTCCTATGAAGGATCAGGGGCTACTCCTAGTACCTCTGGGCTCATGCAGTGCAAGGGGTTGAACCAGGCCTCGAGAATGCAAAGCCTGTGTTCCAGTCCTTGGTGCTATCTTCACACACACACAGACACACACAGACACACACACACACACACACATACACACACTCACACAGATGGGTCCACTCTGACCTCCCACCAGCTCAGCTTCTTTTCTGCCACGAGGGGCTGACGCAGACAGCCCTGTCTCTGTCTCCCTGTCTGTCTTTATTTCTCTCTTTTTCCCAATTGTGGCTTCCTTGTAAAAACAAGAGGCAAAGACCTAGAAGCAGTCTCTCCCAAAGGGGATAGACAGGTCTGGTGATTGCTGGGGGGAGAGGGGGACGTAATGCTGAAATTCTGTGACTTTCTGTGACCCCCAAACAGCATAAACCATGATTGGGGGAAGAGCTCAGCACTGCTTCCCCAGCTTGGTGAGTGTGGTTCATATCTTGGTTCAACCTCAGCGTCTCCTTCTATTTCTCACCCTTTCCATCTCTGCAACTCCCTAGGGCTGAGAGGCCGGAAGGGACCTGCAGAAATTTGCAACAGATAGCAGAGCCCATCAATAGGAGGGCAGAATGGATGATCCAGCCTGAGGGTTGTTTGGTGCTTTTGATCCTTGGACCTAATCCCTCATACCCTCAGAAGGATTAGACCAACTCCTTACATGAGGCTGCCAGAAAAG